TGGGACTCTAATCCAATATGGCTGGTATCCTAATAAAAAAGGAAGTTTGGACACACAGACATACCCGAGAAAAGGGCATGTGAAGATACAGAGAAGACGGCATCTACAAGCCGAGAAGAGGCTTAAAGCAGTTGCTTCTCTCATAGCTTTGGGAAGGAACAAACCTTTCGATACCTTGCTTTTTTGAGTCTCCAGATTTCTGAGATGCAGGAAGGACAGGTGATGCTCAAAGTGCTTCTGCATTAGGGAGGTCTACCACCCACACCTACTTCAACTAGCATCTCACACACTTTGAAAGGCTGCTCTAGGGAATGCGGAGCAGCAGAGGGTTTAGGCAGGGGAATGGCATGATCTTTTTTCTGTTTTGGAACAATGGAACATTCTGGATTGTGTAACACACTGAAAAATGGATCAAGAAAACCTAAGCATCCAGAACAGCTCTATGGTCCTTGTGAGGAATCCTCAGAAGGGATCTTTCCTGGGTCTGGAGGTCTTTAAGGAGGTAAAATGGTCACTTGATTGTTCCTAAGGTAGTGGTTCCCCATCTTGCTTTGATTATGACCCCTTTGAAAATCTGTTGAAAACTATAACTGTCCCCATCAGACAAATACCCTCATCCAAATTTAAGAGTATGGTGATGGTGGTTTAGTGGCTAAATTGTGTCCAACTCTTACAACCCCCTGGTCTGTAGCCTGCCAGCTCCTCTGTCCATGGGATTCTCCAGGCAAGAATACTAGAGTGGGTTGCCATTTCCTTCTCCAGGGGATCTTCCTGACCCAGGAATTGAAGCCAGGTCTCCTGCACTGCAGGCAAATTCTTTACCAACTGAACTATGAGGAAGCACTTAAGAGTACAGGTGAGGATTTTTTCAAACAGAGGATTGGTTTTTGATCTCACGTGTAGAAATAAAGTTGGATGGCTGAAGATATTGGGGTGTCCACGTGTCATCACACAGGAAGTCAGTGCCTAACTACTGGCCCTACACCAAGACTCACAGGCATCATTCTGAAACTATAACTTGCCCACATTGGTTGTTTCTGCTCTTCCATTTCTTTATTCCACTATGATTAGCAGTTAACTACTTAAAACACAAAGAGATTGTGTATCTAACTTAAAGGGCAGAAAGGAAAGGAAGAAGTATGAAGATTGATCTCCATCCATGGCAGTTTGGGGAAATAGTGAGTGACTAAGAGAAAGGTGACACAGGTTAGTTAATCCTCAGGACTTATGGTGGATACAGGAGAACACTGTTCCTTGGGGAGAATTTTCATTACCTTTCCTGTGGACTTTAATTCATTTTAATTCCATTTCCCATCACTCCCTTCTTGGTGTTAACTGCTCAGGGTCATGGGAAGCTAAATCATTTGCTGAAGCTGGATAGGAGGGGAAAGACCAAGAAATAAAAATATATGAGTATCTTATATTTTTACATTGAGGGTCTTTGCTGAAAGATTTCACAAACTCCAAAGTTTTAACTGGCTAAAAAATGTTCAATGAATAGAGGGCACTAAAGCTTAATGGCAGGTACTATAACTTGTTGACCACTATATTTGCAGAGCCTAATACCCAATCTGACACATGGTAGATGCTCAGTAAGCTGAATGAATGAACAAATAGAATAGTTATGGAATTTGCAGTCATAAGATCTGGATAATATTCTACACTTATTCATTAAATAGATATGTGAAAAGTCGCTTCAGGTCTTTGGGACTGGCTTGTTCTTTATTATAAAATGACAGATTTAGATCAAATATAGATACAGTACTTGAACATTCTACAACTTAGAATATGAATAGAGTTAGTTAAGGCAAAGCTGTTTGCTCACCATTATGTATGGTAGATTAGATGCCATATATGCTAACATATAGTGTGTCTAAGAGTTCAGGGGAAGGCTAATTTGAGAAAGTTTCACTGTCCTAAAAGAAACTGAGACGTAAATTTACCTAAAGTGCAATCCTGTGATCAGCAGTGCACTCCGTGGCACTTGCATAACCACTGCTTCAGGCGGGACTGGACCAAAATAGTAAGAAGAAAAGAACGAAGAAGCAATGTCAAAATTCTACTAAGGAGAGAGGTTTGACAAGTCCAGGTTACTGAGAAAGAAGGAAACTGCTCAGATCAAGAACTATTAACTCTTTCAAACTCTCCCTCAGCTTGGAGAAGTTTTGTAAGTAGATCTTAATGTTCTCAAAGCATTTTGGTGAGAGAATAAGAGTCCATTATTCAGAAGACACACGTATCTTCAGAACAGATGTGTCCTGAAAGTCTCATGTAAATAAAACACACTGGAAATGAGTCAATTCAGAATGAGACAACAGTTACAACATAATAGAACTAAAAATACACAGACTGACATAAAGTTGATTTCATTAATATTTATCAGGGTATCTTATCTACATTTATGTTTCATGTGGAATTAAGTGGACAATTTCTCTTAAGTTTTAGACAAATAGTTCCATTTTTATTAAATGAGTATTATCTATTTCTAAAATGCCTTTATTATTGGATAAAATTATGCTATTACCAACACACTATTTAGTATTAAATGTTCTTTCTTGAAAACAATAGTGAAAAAACTTTAATACATGCACATATAGTGAATTGTTATACAGAGCTTCTTTTGTTCAGGTTATCAAATTCTTCTAGGCATATTATTCCAGTTTCTTAACAATATTGGAGAATCTAACTCTGTTTGAAGTGCTTTAGTGGTTTTAAATATATTGGGACCAGACACATAATTTAATGGTCCTCCTAATGTCCAACTACCTTGCCTTCAAAAATACTGGGAATTTGCACTGACTTCTGTGGAATGTGTTCTTTTACTGACCTATGATAAATAAAGCACCATCTTTCTGAAATGATCTAAAAAGTGGAGTGTCAGGAAGCACTTAACAGGAGACTTCCTGTGTGCTGTTTTGGATCTGTCAGGAATCCTCTGGTCCTTACTAATTCCTGAATATTCAGGAATTAAGAGGAAAGGCACACCTTTCCCGGGTCTGAGGAATCCAGGCATGTCCTTCATTAGTTTTTCAATACGGGATAAGTACCCTCTTCCTTCTTATGAACCTTATGTTAAAAAGTGATTGCCTACAACTCTCTCTCTTTAATAGGGATCGCCTTACGTTTTGTAAGTCTGGAATTTTAATCTTTATCTTTGCTGAGAATAACTATCTTGTAAAACAGTATATATGCCCACACCATGTTGATTAAAAAACCTTTGCTCCATCAGAGCTTGGGTTCCCGTGTCTTTTTTTCTTTCGTTCTTTCTCTCTCTCTGTCTCTCTCTATCTCTCTATTTCTGGTTGATTCCCTGGAGCGCAAAAGCTGGCTGTATAATCCAGGGAATGTTAGCCTCTTTCGTTCTTTCACTCTTTCTTCGTCGACTCCGGACCACCAGGTTCCAGTCCAATACAGGACCAACAAGTGGAGCCCAGAAACAGGGACTTGGCACACATGGATTCGAACGGAGTGACCCCAGAAGGCCTAATGAGGCAGGTAAGTACTAAGACATGGGTCAATCGGCTGGAAAGCCCCCTCACTTTTTACTTTATCACTTATTTAAAGTTCAGGGATTTTTTGTTTCACACCAGCGAATAAAGGCTTGCCTTCAGACAGTGGTTGCATGTAACCCTTGGTTCCCTGATGAAGGTAGTTTTGATTTAGAAATTTGGCATCGGGTCAAAGAGAATGTTGGAGGAGCCATCAGACAGGGAAAAAATATTCCGATAGATTTCTGGCCCCTACGGGCTCTCATTGAAGCTGTGATTCTGCCATTTCAAGGTAATTCTAGCCCTCCTGATATTTGGCAACAGGCAGAACACTTATTACATGAATATGAATTAGACAATCAAGTCTTACAAAAGGCCCAATTAGAACAACATAAGGTATTTCAGAATTTTCCTGCTAACCCTGCCCCAGTTGCTCCAAGCGCTCCTCCCCTGCCGGAGGGCACATATCTCAAAGTCTCTCCCTTGATAGAACCTAAAGATTCTGGCAACGACTCCCTTAAGCCCATACTGTAATTGGAAAAAAAAAAAGGAAAAAGCTAAAAGACAATTGAAAAAGACAATTACCTGTTTATGATAATGCAAATCGGGAACGTCAAAAGGCTGTAGCCCCAATTCGTGAGACAGGTACTATTTTTGATTATTTGAAGGCTTGTTGCCATATAAGATCAGAAACTCAAAAAATGCAAATGCTAGCTGAGACAATGGCTGCTTGCTTTAAAAAGGGAGATGAAGGATGCTTTAAATGTGACGATAAGAAACATTTAAAAAGGGACTGCCCTAAGCAAGTTAATATTAAAAAAAAAAAAAAAAAACCTCCAAAATCTGCCCTCACTGCTGTAGAGAAATGCATTGGGCCAAAGATTGTAAATCTAAATTTGATATTGAAGGGAAACCAATTCCGGGAAACTCCAAGCAGGAGACCCGCCCCCCCCCCCCCCCCCAGATCCCCTTTAACAAAAACCAGAGGCAAATTCCATCTTTTCCCTTAAACCCTCAACATCCAGCTGTGCTGCTGTCGACATACCAGCCCCAAATGACTTTCTCCTTTACCCTCAAGCAGTCGCCTCTAGAATACCTACCGGACTTTTTGGGCCTCAGGCCCCCACAAACCTTCGGTCTTTTACTTGGCTAATCTAGTTTAACTTAACAGGCAAGAAGGCCAGGGGTCTCCAAATGGAGAAAATAGTCTGCAATGTCAGACATTTTTCTCTCTCTTAAGCAGCAGGAGGAAACAAACTAGCAATATTTCTTTTTTGTTCTTCTCTATACAAATTTATTTTCTTTTTTTACCTCTTTTTAAAAGATTTTATATTTTTAAAAACAAACCCTTGTGTCGACGGCTGACTTTCAATAGATCGCAGCGAAGGAGCTGCTCTGCTACATACAAAACCCCGACCCAGAAGCAGGTCGTCTACCAATGGTTTAGCACCAGGTTCCCCACGAACGTGCGGTGCGTGACGGGTGAGGGGGCGGCCGCCTTTCCAGCCGCACCCCGTGTCCGGAGACGAAGGGCTCGCAGCACCGGACCCTGGTGCCGACGCACTGCGGTGTGCACCGCGCCCCGAGGGACAAGGGTGACGGCCCGCTGGCGGGGACGGCCAACCGAGGTTTCCAAGGCGCTGCCGTTATCATTCCGCCTGGGCGGGATTCTGACTTAGAGGCGTTCAGTCATAATCCCACAGATGGTAGCTTCGCCCCATTGGCTCCTCAGCCAAGCACATACACCAAACCTTCTCTATACAAACTTAAAAGGAGGTTTCTCTTAAAACACTGTGTTGCCATAATGACACCTGGTTTCACTTGAAGTTAACTATTCTCAAACCCTGAGTTAACCAATGCATTTTTCTTATGGAAATATTTGTCTTAAGCTATGTTAACGAACTATGTATTTACCCCTAGATTCTTTATTCAAGTTGGTTCTGCCTAAGACTCAGAACCGACTTGACAAACCGGTGTGTTTTACTCATGCAAATGTTCTCTTAAGCTATGTAAGTGAAACTGTATTTGCTTGAAAACCTACCTTTCTTCAAGATTCATGTCAATAATTTTGTGGCCCGGGACAACTCACCTGGTACCAAGGTTATCTCAAAATGCATGTTGTGGGTGAGGGGCCTGGTGCTATTCTCTTCAGTTTTGAGACATTTCCTTTCTCTAATTAGCAGACTGCTAGTAGTTATATGACACCTGGCTAAAGACTAGCAGGGGGACACTCTTTCTGCCCCCTTCTGATGCCTATGTCAGAAGCTTTCTCTATCTCCTTTATACTTTAATAAAACTTTATTACAAATAAATCTCAATTTGAGAACACATTACAAACTTCTAGTGATTTCCAAACTTCTAAAAAATTTGTTATTTCTCGCATTTCTTTTATATAGATGGGACTAAAAATGCCAAAGCTTCATTCTGGTCTCTTAAAAAATATAAAATCTAAATAAAAAAAATATAAAATGTTTTACACTAAATTTCATTCTGCACAACAAAATGAATTATATGCTCTTTTTCAAGTTATTTGCCTACATCCTTACCCCATTAATATAGTCTCTGACTCTATATATTCAGTTTTTATATTAAAAAATATAGAAACCTCCACCACAAACTCCTAGTTCTATTAAAAGACAATGGCCCTGCCTATATTTCTAGACACTTTAAACAATTTTTACAATCTTTTTCTATTAAACATGTTACAGGTACTCCTTATAACCCACAGACCCAAGACATAGTCGAACAAACACATCACACACTAAAGTTACAAATAAAAAAATTAAAGAAGGGGGAATACACAGGTACACTACTGTCTTCCTTATCTAAACAGACTTCACTAGATTCCAACATAATATATTTTCTAAACCTATAACTATTGTTAATACACCTTTATTTGTTTTAAAATTTTTAAACCTACCACAGGGAAATATTTTAACAAGAGCAGAAAGACATTTCAAGGAATTGAAGGACAGTTCTCTTCCTCTGCCCATCTGGTACCAAGACGGGTTCAGTAAACAATAGAAATTTGGGAAATTAACCTTACAGGGAAAGGGATATGCTTGTATTTCCCCAGATGGATCTAACAAACTTTTCCCTTAAAAAATTTGACCCAAGGCGGCCCCCAGCATTCAAAATGGAGACGAAACACCAAGAACCCCAGGAGGAAAAAATTCCAATACGGGCCATGGTGCCTGTAAAGATCGCCAAAAAGCACTGCCCTTGGCAGCATCAACCCTATGAACTCCCTTCTTGGGGGACAGATAAAAACCCTTACTAATAAAGCTGAAAATTTGGTCTCTCAACAGGGAAGGTCTTGGAGTCCTGAATACATTTTCCTGCTAGCTTGTGTCTCTCAAACTTAACTGGACTTTCTTACCCAACTCCCCTTTATTACATGTCATAAAATGGACAAAGAAAAGACTGATGGTTATCAACCAATGACTCCACCCATATGCCCCCTCCCTGGAGCCCTCACACCCTGGGGAGGAAGGAAAACTAATTAACATTTCTTTAGGCCTTCCACTGTGCCTGGGCCCAGGAAAATTATGCATAAATGCCAGCCGACAAACTTGGGCTTTCCTCCTGCCTCTAAAAGAAGACTTTCAGACATTGCTGCCCTTTCTCTGTCTGTGAACCATGTTTACTACTGAAACTTTAGGGAAAGAGTTAGGGAAAGAACAAAAAACATTATGTAAAAGGTTACTAACACTATGTTGAAGCATTACCGTGACAAAGGACTTCTTGGCTGGCTTGACGGTGGAATGACACCCCCTCCCCCTCAAATCGTCCTCGATAAACAGAGTGGGCCTAAACAATGGGACATACGGACGTACGGAAACTTGCTGCCAGCACCGAAGAACTTGGGACTTAGAACGGACATTTCACAGGGACCAGTCGTGGTCACAGTAACCATTTCTTTCGCTATAATCAGTCATATTTTATACAGGCCTGTGTCCCACTTCCTTTTGTTATAGCCATAGGAAATTTACAATTTAATAAGACTTTAAGTTCTGTAACTTGTATTAATTGCCCATTTTGTGTTACTCCTGTTCATTTCAGTCATATTACCTACACCTGGGAACAAATCAAATTTCATTTACTTGATAATGCCTCTCTAAATGTACAATTACTACAAAAAGAAATCTTTAAAATTTTTTCTAAACGTCTGCCCTCTTCCACTAATTTAGAAACTTTAGCTGAACAAATTATTTGGGCTAGACCCATGAAAATGGTTTCAAAGTATTACCCACAGCATCAGGTCTGGAACTGTAACTTTGGTGATTGTCTTGATAATTGTATTTGTTGTTTATCATTGCCTTTCTATAAGGTTGGTTAATACTAACCAAACTCATTTGGTCAGGACCTTTTTTACAAATATAATAAAAGAAGGGGAATTGTCAGGAAGCATTTAACAGGAGGCTTCCTGTGTGCTGTTTTGGATCTGTCAGGAATCCGGGAGAGGCACACCTTTCCGGGGCCTGAGGAATCCAGGCATGTCCTTCATTAGTTTTTCAATACGGGATAAGTACCCTCTTCCTTCTTATGAACCTTATGGTAAAAAGTGATTGTCTACAACTCTCTCTCTTTAATAGGGATCACCTTATGTTTTGTAAGTCTGGAATTTTAATCTTTATCTTTGCTGAGAATAACTATCTTGTAAGACAGTATATATGCCCACACCATGTTGATTAAAAAATCTTTGCTCCATCAGAGCTTGGGTTCCCATGTCTCTCTCTTTCTCTCTGTCTCTCTGTCTCTCTCTCTCTGTCTCTCTCTCTCTCTCTCTCTCTCTATATATATATATATATATATACATATATATATATATATATATATATATATATACATATATATATATATATATATTCTATTTTATTTCTGGCTGAATCCTTGGAGTGTGAAAACTGGTTATGTAACCCAGGGAATATTAGCCTCTCCTTCTTTCACTTTGTCATCATCGAATCCAGACCACCAGGTTTCGGTTCATTAAAGGACCAACAGTGGAGCATTTTCACAATGACTTTTTCTCATTTCTTGGCTCAGAAAATATCATTCTGGCCTCCTGTGGTCATCCTGTTATTCACCAGTGAATGTTACTGACCCAGCATCTCCACTGAGATGGATGGGTGGGTAAGTGGATAGGAGAGGTCAGAGTTTTGCCTTTTCTACACAGATTCACAAGGCAGAGCTTCTTGTCCTTCCCTCAAGTGTGTGCTTCAACAATTGGGGGTCATCTCTGGAGGAGCTTGGGAAGTTAAAATGCATTAGAAAGCATGTCCAAAAGCCAGAGGAGATGCATTGCCAGCTGCTGATAGAAAGGGCTTTTGCTGGACTTCAGAGGTAAAGGATAAAGAATTATCTAGGAGTTTTAAAATAAACCATGACTAAAACAATAGATATATGCTATTCTTAGTGTCTGTCAATTAACGCAAGGTAATTTTTTTCACTGTCTACTTAATCACATTGTTGGTTACACAAAGAAATATACAATATTTTTTGCTTTGATACAGTGTTGCCTTAAGTGGAAAAATTGGCTGTTGAATGAAGATCTCACCTGAAACCAAAACTTTTTTTAAAGACAGGTCTCTGAATTAGTCATGCAAAGTACCCTGATGAATGTGGCTGGCAAGACGCCCCGTATTTCATCCTATTTGATTGATTCCCCCAGAATACTGACCTCTGGATAGACTGTGACCACAGTGACAGACCTAAGTACAAGCCTCCATCTCCATTTTCTAACTCCCACAGAAGCAACTGGACCAGCTGTTCTCACATTTGTACCTGTGCTGTGCTGGTTATGTATGAAGGAACCTGGGGAGTCTTGTACCAAAAATCCTGACTCAATAGGTGTGGGGTAGGGATAATGAAAGGTATAGTTGTCATCCCAAACTTAAGACTGTCACCCTTAAACCATCACTCTTCACAAAAAGGATGCATTAGTAAAATACAAATTTGCTTTACTGAAATAAAAATCAAAGGTGACTAGTCACAGGAATCCCATGCTTAGCAGCAGCAGACTTCAACAACTAAGTAATACTGGGGTTAATTACCCCCTAAACTTCTTGGACCCTGGGTATGTTTATCTGACAGTCCATCCTTTACATATGAGTTCAAATATCTGAGTAACTTTCAAAAGCTATCACCTCAAAACTATCTTCTGCTCTTTACATTGGCAGGTAACACTAACTATACTGTTGTTGTTCAGTTGCTAAGTTGTGTCCAACTCTTTGTGACCCCATGAACTGCAGCATGCCATGCTTCCCTGTCTTTCACTATCTCCCAGAGTTTGCTCAAATTCATGTCTATTGAGTCAGTAATGCTATCTAACCATCTCCACCTCTGCTGCCCTCTTCTTTTGCTTCAATCTTTTCCAGAATCAGGGCCTTTTCCAATGACTAGCTATTCTAGTCATCCACAATAAATGACATTGTCATGACTCCAATGACAATAATGTTCGAGGAGCTTCTAGTCCATCAATGTACCTATTTGTATTTCTAGCTTTGACACAGACTGAAATGTCTGAATCCTTCAAAAATGTGTATGTTGAAATCTAGTCTCTAACCTTATGGTATTTGAAGGTGGGGTCTCTGGGAAGTCATTAGGTCACAAAGGGAGAACTCTGGTGAATGAGACTAGTGCCCTTATAAAAGAAACT